AAAATGTGTTTTTTTTTTTTTTGGTTTTTTTTTTTTTTTTTTTTTAAGAGAGATTTTTGCTATAGGGTGTGTGTACTCACCAGAGAGACAGAGTGAGACAGAGGGACAGAAAGTGAAAAATCACCCCTCAGGGGGGATGGCTATATTGCAATCCCTTTGTCCTCCATTCTCCTCTTGGGATTTTGGGCATGGTGTGAGGTTTTAGCCACCAGGTCTGGGATTCAAACCTCAGTCAACTACATGGGAGTCTAGTGACATCACCATTAAGCCATCTGCTGGTCCTGATGATGAGGTCCTTCAACTCTATTGCTGGCTGGTCTTCTCCTAAAAGTCCCTTTGACCTGGGGCCCTCATGACAGCTCTAGGATGTGAGTGATGGGCTGCACTGTTCCAGTGGGAGGTGGGCTATGCCCTGGCTAGCACGCTGCTCACGCAGGCGCGTCTGCTGTCTTCAACTGCGGTCCGACCTGTGAAGACTCTTCGCTGTCGGTCTGTGGTCCAGCTGAACACTCTGGATTTTGTCTATTTGGGTCCCTGTGAAGGGACCAGGAGCTTGCGTCCCTCCACATAAATCTCTCCTGAGTCTCATGGCATGGAGGCTTTTTCCCCTCCGGCCTCCTCTTCCCTGGCTCCGGCCCTGGCGCCCTCCTCACAGGACATCCTTTCCATCCTTTTAGTTGTCTTTATGGCCTTGCTTTGGACCCTGGCCCAGGCCACATCCTCTGTGAGGTGTGCTGACCTACCCCAGGCATTTGTTAACAGGAGCGCGGCCCAGCGGAAGTTTGGCTTCCCAGTCGTTGCATGTCGCGCGTCTCTTCCTACATCCCGGGGTCACGCTGCTGCTTTCCGGAGGCCTGTCACTGACCACGGGACTCCCGAGCAAGGCGACCTGGCCAGAAATGGACATGTGGGCTGCCTTGGATGCCAGCTGCAACTGCCATTGCCTGGGCCCGGAGAAGCAGGTCAGAGGATGACTTCTCATTCAGAAACTTGGGGACCCTGTACCCCTGGGACACATGTCCTGGATTAGCCCAGCCATCTGAGACCACAAAGGAAGGGGGGTCGGAACATAATGTCTCTGTCCTCCCTGATATTTCCCAGGCCTCTGGAAAGCCCACTCCTTCTTTAGGGGTGGTCCCCACTTCTTCCTTCCACCAGGAATCCAGCAATCAGGAATTCCGTTCCGTGATGCTGCACAGCAAAGAGGCAGCCCAGGCCGTGCAGGGAACAGTACTCCAGGCAGGGCAGGGAGTTGGCTCAGTGCAACTCTCCGGCTTACTTTTGCACCTGCTGGTTCTACATAAAGAGCCTGGTGTTTCTGGTTCCTGAGCCAGGACCACCTCTCTCCCAGACTGTTGTCTGTTTATGGCCCTCTGTGAATGTGTTTCAGACCCCCTAATTCCACCAGAAGACTATATGGCTTTCTGGAAGCTTCATCCTCCACCCACCCCAAGATTGGGCCACCACATCAGTCCCTTTCTGGCCAACATGTGAAGGCAAGGGTCAGACACCTCAGTCAGCCACAGGCCTGTCTCAAGAAGGCCAGCTTGAGGGACCAGCAACTGGCGTGGTGGTTAAGGCACTGGACACTCCCACATGGCCAACCACGGTTTGAATCCTGGACCTGGTGGCTTGTTTTCTCACTTACCCTCTCTCTCTCTTTCTCTGTCTCTCTCTGGTCAAATTAAAATAAAATGAATGAATAAATGAAATAAATAGTTCTTAAAAAAAAAAAAAAGGCCAGCTTGAGAGCAGACACTCCTCGTTTTCTGAGGAACGAGTGTCAGCTGGCTGTTCCTTGGCTAACAGGTAAAACCACAAGCCGCCACCTTTACTTAAGAAAATACTCCTTATAGAGGGACACCTCATTTTAGTTCCTCAAGCATAAACCTTTCCATTCATTCATTCTTTTTTTTTTTATTTTGGTGTTTCCATCCAGAAATAATTTATGCATATTCAAGCATAAAAAAAGATTGTAACCCTCTGCCCCTTTTGTATAAGTGGTTGTAACATGACAAACATTGTTTTGCTCCAGGATTTGCTCCAGACCTTTCCATACAGAAAACTTTATAGAAAACAAATGCACGCATCCAAGGGATGTCCTCAGTTGCTTTTTCCTATCGGGCTGCCTCATCGCACCTTTCCTGGCTCTGGAGAATCCTGGTTCCCGCCTCCGTCTAACTGGGCTCCTCCGGGCACTTGGGAGCAGCAGCTGGGGCCAGGGTTGACCTGTGCGTTCGGATCTGCACTCAGCTATGACTGCAGAGCCGGCATGTACCAGGGACAACTCCTCACAATGGGGGAGGGGGAAAGGCGGACAGCCTGGGACTGGTGAGCTCTGGGAGCCTCCTGGAGGCCAGGCCACAACACCCGCAGCCAATGGTCCTGGTCCTTGAAAACTGCTATTGTTGCTTTGAGGTCAGTGGAAAGGGCATTTCTCCTCCTGAACTGCAAAGTCTGAGCACTGCTTGTCCCCAGGAAGATGGAGTCTAGAGTGTGTCTATCTGGGTCCCTATGAAGAGACCAGTTGCCCACATGCCTCCACATAAATGTCTCCTGGGTCTCACGGCACGGAGGTTTTCTCTCTGGCACCACTGCCTACACCCACTAAGTGGAAGTGGTAATGGTGAGCCCTTAGCTAGACTCCAAAGGGACCCGATCCCTGTGCCAACCAGAGAAGTGGGACTGCCACTGCCTGTGCAGGAATTTCTGACCAGCCATTAATCCTTCGGTGCTGCCGACCTCACCTTGGAAGTACCAGCTGGCGACTGGAAAAAGCAAAATACAGGCCAGAACTGACATAGCTACAGACTCTGGAGCAGGAAAAACCCAGAGCTCACGACGGAGTCTCTCCTACCTCCGATCATTTCTCCTCCTCCGGAACAGCTTCTTGGTGTGAGCAATCTCCACTTCATGGGGCATCGGGTGGTAGCCCTGCATGGTTGGAGAAGGAAGCGGGGATCATTAGTAACTTCTTAAAAAGAGCAAAGAACCTCTAGGGCTCTAACTACAACAGCACCGAAGACAGAAGCATCTGAAAATCGGAACAGACCACAAACACGAAAGTGAACGGAAATCCTGCCAGCTTTTGATGCTGGAATTACAGACACAAAGAAACCAGGGACAAAGGGGACCCCAGAAGTGATCATCTCCAATCCCTCAAATTACAGACGAGGATGCTCAGGGACACAGAGGTGAGGAGTTGGTTCGAGCCCTGCAGAGAGTGGGGCAGAGCTGGGAGCAGGCGTCATTGGCTGCGTGTCTGATGACAAGTCACTTCTCTAATCTCAAGTTTCCTGACAAAATGGGAATGTCAATACCTCCCTCTCTGGGCTGTTGAGAGGATCAAGGGAGTGAGTCTGTAATTCCTGAGCCTTGCGCAGGGGAACTGTGTCTTCTAATCTGAATCCAGGCTCTCTCTCTGTCCAGTATTTACACGAGATTGTCTTTTCTTATAGGGGAATATTTAGGAAAGTATGCAAATAGCTGAATGTCTTTAAACTTTAAAGGAGGACTGGGAAAATGCTAACAGTCTTTTGTGTACTCTCTGCATCTACACCAAGGCTGGTCAGAGATCTTCTGGGGCTGGGGGTGGAGAGAATCCTGCAAGTGCCAGGCACCAGGAGGGATTTTTTCCAGAAGCTGGGCTGATGGGCAGCTGCGTTCTTACCACCTTCCTGTCCCTCCACCCCCAACAGAAAAGTGTTCTGGTGGGGACATGGCCAAGAGCACTAGCATTCCATATGGGCAGACTGACCTGGAGTACAGGAGACCTAGGCCTGGGGGTCTAGAGGAAGGGGTGGCCCAGGTTGGGCCTAGAATACCTGGGTCCAGTCCCTGATGTAGAATCTGCAGCCTGAGTGGGACCCCCACACCGACTGGAGGGCCCTGAACCTGTACAGGATGAGAGGGGAGCTACGGAGCCCAGTCTGAAGGCAACTGGGCAAGTGAAGGTCCACCTGGCCCCAATCCCCACTTTATAAGCAGGAGGCCAAGGCCCAGAGAGGTCACACGCTGAATCAGAGAGAGGTTCTGCCTTTGCTGCACACAGCCCTCACCAGAGCAGGGGGCGGACACTGGCAATCCTGGCTGAGCTGGGAGTAACCAGTCTGGGGAGCCTCCCAGGGGAGTAACGAGAAGACAACAGTCTGAGACGACACAGCGACCCTGGCGTTAATGGCAACTTGGCCTAGACGTCTACCGAGTCCAGGGAGGGAATGACACCTTTAAAAATATATTTTAATACCAGTCCTTCCCTCCCACCCTCAACTCTCTAGCCTCCAACAATCTAGCCCAAAAGGCATGAATGGGTTCCGGGCTCCAGGCAGCCACAATGAGTGCTCTGGGCCTTCGGATGTGCTTTGTTTAATGGTTGTCTAAGAGGATATTATTTGTTTTCTTTAATACAAAACACAAACAAGGAAAAACACCAAGTCTTCCCCTCTCGCTTCCCCTCTCCCACCCGACCAAGCTCAGGCTGCCCCCTCCCCTCCCTTGGCCCTCCCTCCCTGCTCCCAGCCTCCCCAGGTCACTTCAAGAACACTCTGGGTGTGTCCCAAGTAGACAATGGACAGGAAGCTGAGGCTCCCTCCTGGCCGCCTGGATCGGATTGCAACTCCAGGCTGGGCAGAGGGGGCTGCCCGCAGCACTTGGTGTAATGGGAGCCCAGGAGGTGCCAGTCTCCCGGGTCAGGGCCTCAGAGTCCTGGCCTCTGCCCCTTACATGCCCGCAGCAGCAAGGGGACGCTGCCCTCAGGAGGTAACCTTGGCATGAAGCCCCGTCTCTGTCCAAGGACTGGTGGCCTAATGAAGCATACTGGGGCACTCAGGGCTTCTAATGAGGCCTCAGTCCCCTATGTCCACCCATCAATGTCCATCCATCATCCCACAAAAATTCATACACACACATGCACGCACGCACACGTACACACACGCTTCAAAAAGTTCATGGAAAATGTGCATTATGAAAAGACCGAATATTTCAATTTTTTTCGCGCCCAAATAAACTTATAATAAACTTTAACTAAAGTGCACATATGTCATGTACATGCATAAATCATTATACCAGTTAAAAGCATGGACTCTGGACTAGACTGACCATCCAGATCCTGCCTCTGCCTCTTGATGGCTGTGTGACTTTCAGTGGAGGACCTAGCTTCTACATGCCTCAGTTGTTTTTGTTTTTGTTTTTGCTCTAGGACATGTGTGCATGCTGGAGAGAGACAGAGGGAGGGAAAGTGAAATATTACCCCCCGCCCCCCGCTCCCCAGGAAGATGGCCATACCACAATTCCCTGTCCTCCATTCTCCTCATGGGATTTTGGGCACGCATGCATGCACACATACCCAGGGTGTTTCTCAAGTCATGAGGTCCAAAACTTGAACCATGCAGCAGGCCATGTGGGATCCAGCTGCCCTAACCATCATGCCAACTGGCTGGCCCACGCTTCAATTTAATTATGTGTAAATCTTCTGCAGTCCTTGTGAGGGTTAAATGAGTCACCAATCATTAAAGATCACGGAATAATGCGTCATACATAAGAAGCCTCAGGAAATAGCTCTAGCCGTCACCGCTGTCATTGTCATCAGATCACCATCATCTTTCTCATGACTCTGACGCTCTGTTCAGGGCGTTGTGTGTTCAGACAGGCAAGGCTGCTCAAGTGTCATCCTCGCAGAGCCCACCGCCTTGGCAGAGTCCAGCCAGGGGCTGGGCAGAGTGAAACCGAGGACGACTAGTGAGTACTGGGTTTCTTTGGGGGATGATAAAAATGTGCTGGGATTAGAAAGCGGTTATGGCTGCACCCTGTGAATCTACTCAAAGCCACTGACTTGTACACTTGACACGGGTGACTATTACAACACAGGAATTATATCTCAAAGAGAGGTAGAAAACTAGGGTACAGGGTATTCCAGGTAGAGGGAATATCCCATGTCAAGAAGAAGAGAAAAAAGGAGAGGAGGAAGAGGAGCAGAGAGGAGAGGAGGAGGCGGAAGAGGAAGAGAAAGGAGGGGAGGGCGGGGGAAGAGGGGACTTTTCTCCAGCCAACATGCAAAGGGCTCCCCTCACACCCATTTCATCTCATGGAAACAGCTGCCCTAAAACATGACCTGTAAGATAGGGCTGGAGAGGGTGGCATGTCTAGTCAGGGGGACCCAAAAGGACGACACGTAAGCAACCTGTAAAGGAGCGTGAGTTGTGCTCCTGGTGGCCTGGCCAGGAGAGACGGTGTTCTGGCTTTAGTCCGGAGATCCCCCCTGCTTGTTAGACAAGGCTTGTCCCTCAAGCGGAGAGTGGGAAGATTATCAGGCGTGTCGGAATTACCCTTTAAGAGCACAAAGTGACCTTTGCTCCAATTCTTTGTTCAACGGTCCTTCCTCTAGGCTTTGAAAGAGCTTCTGTGGATGTCAATCCAGGTATGAATCCCATATACCCCACAACCCCACCTCAGCAAATGAGAGAACACCCTGTACCCCACAACTCCACCCCAGCAGATGAGAGAACTAGCCTTTAGGTGCTTTGTGTTTGCTCAGTCTGAGTCAGATGTGGCCTGCGGCTTCACCATGGGCCACCGCCCGGCCCCACCTGCTCTTCTTCAACTTCTCCACATGAAATCCTTTCTCTCCTTAGCTCTGGGACCTGGCTGCAGGCCCCCTTCTGTCTAACCTCTGACCACTTTCGATAACTAAGTGGGCCTGGGAGACAAGTAGATTATATAAACCAAGCGTCTCCTGGGAGGGAGGGAAGATAATGCTCCCTCCACATGCAGCGCTGGCAGGGTACACGTGAAACACTCTCTTTCTCTTTCTCTCTCTCTGTCGCTCTCCCTCCTTGCCACCCTGGGTCAGCACTGGTGTAAGATGCGGCACCGAGGGCCCACACAGTATTGTAGTAGTCGCAAAAACATGTTATGTAAAACTCAGTCCATTCTGGGGCAGGCTGTGGCTGCTCTCTCACAACCTGGTGCAGTGGGTATTTCCGAGGGATTAAGGGCAGACCAGCAGAGGTCTGGCTCTGGAACATTAGCCTCAGACAGTTAATAATCCTGGGCTGGGAGTGCAAGGGTCTTGCCCTAAGCTAACAGCTATAAAAAAATAAATCTTGGGTCTGGGGGGACGGTGGGTGGAGGGAGGGCAAAGTCCACGTGAAGAGCAGAAAGCACGTATCCTGGGGGCTCTGACCATCTGGCTGTGAGAATGACGCACCCCCACTAGACACACGCTCCCAACGCGTCCCATCCTGACAGCCACCTACCCTTCATTAATTTACACAACCTATAAATATTGTTCTTTAGACACCGTGGATATGGTATTAAAAAAAATAGACAAAATGCTGGTTCTTTTTTTTTTAGTTTTGCTATAGGGAACACATGCTTGCCAGAGAGAGACAGAAAGAGATGGAGAGAGAGAAAGTGAGAAAGCACCCTGGGGGGTGGGAATGGCCACACTGCAATCCCTTTCCTCCATTCTGCTTTTGGGATTCTGGGCATGAACACACATACCCGGGGTGTTTTTCAAACTGAACCACACAGTTGGTGGGACCCAGCCGCCTTAACCATCATGCCATTGGCTATCCCAAAATGCTGGCCCTCCTCGAACACATATTCTAGTAAAAGAAGAGAAATAACAAACAAGCAGATGTCATCAATGGCAAAGATGATGTTTGGCTATGGAGTGAAACAAGGCAGGGGAAGGGGAGGAGAGAAGCAAGAATGGAGGTTGAGGGTGGTGAGGGAGGACTTCCCTGGTAAGGTCCAGCTATCCATGGGCCCCCCATCTTAGTTCTTTTTCACTCAACAAACGCTGAAAGCCTACTACGTGCCAGTGTACCAGATGGAGAATACCAGGATGAACAAGACCCAGCCCAGTCCAGGAGGAGCTCAAGGGAAACCCAGTGAATAAGCAGATGTGTGCCATGTGCACGCATGCTGAGCAG